ATGAGAGTTTGGTCATGAGAGTTTGGTCATGAGAGTTCGGTCATGAGAGTTCGGTCATGAGAGTTCGGTCATGAGAGTTCGGTGTGCCAAGGGTGGTCCAGGTCCATCGTTGGTGGGGGACACAGTGGTCTCTGGAAGCGTTTCTTTGTGCTACTTCATGTATGACAGTGTAAACTGGGATGCCTTGAAGGCTACGCACAGAAACGTCATGCCTTTTCTGGTATGTTTATTCACGTTTCCAGAATGCGGAGGCCAAATGCGGGCCGAGGTGAAGACCAAGGACCTTTACTCGCATGCCCAGTTTGGAGATAACAACTACCCGGGAGGCTCCGATTGCGAATGGGTGATTGTGGCTGAGGAAGGCTACGGAGTGGAGCTGATCTTCCAGACCTTTGAGATCGAGGAAGAGGCCGACTGTGGCTACGACTACATGGAGTTGTTTGACGGCTACGACGGGACAGCCCCGCGCCTGGGACGCTATTGCGGCTCTGGGGTAGGCTACTTGATTATTTTGCAAAGGGACTGTCTATGTTTTTCTGCAGTCCTTGCAAGAAGGTCGTTGGTGCAAGAGGGTCTTTGTTTCAGGAAGATGGCAGAAGGCATTGGTAAGGTGGTGAATCTGAACCTTCTGGAAGGAAAATGAAGATATTGGACCTAACCGTCAGGACATCATCAAATGTGTCTATAAAAAAGGGTCTCAATCTAGAAGTGAAAACAGGATGATAATAATAATAATTTATTTATTTATTAATTTGTCGTGTCAGAGCAACCAGTCCATTATGTTACATTTCTAACAGAACAAAACAAACAAACAGAAAAATACACAACTTGTGAGTTTGGTAGCTGGTTAAATGTCCTTTGACCAGTATCTGGCCCCTTGGAGTGCCTCTGGTGTTGCTGCAAGAAAGTCCTCCATGGTGCATGTGGCAGGGCTCAGGTTGCATTGCAGCAGGTGGTCAGTGGTTTGCTCTTCTGCACACTCGCATGTCGAGGATTCTACTTTGTAGCCCCATTTCTCAAGGTTGGCTCTGCATCTCGTGGTGCCAGAGCGCAGTCTGTTCAATGCCTTCCAAGTCTTCTGTGTGCCCAGGAGGGAGTCTCTCATTTGGTATCAGCCACTGGTTGAGGTGCTGGGTTTGAGCCTGCCACTTTTGGACTCTCGCTTGCTGAGGTGTTCCAGCGAGTGTCTCTGTAGATCTTAGAAAACTATGTCTAGATTTAAATCTAGACATAATAATAATAATAATAATAATAATAATAATAATAATAACAACAATAATAATGTCAAAATGTTTTGTTGTTATTGTTGTTGTTATAATAACAATAATAATAATGCCAGAATGTTTTGTTGTTATTGTTGTTATAATAACAATAATAATAATAATGCCAGAATGTTTTGTTGTTATTGTTATTGTTGTTATATCTACAACAATAATAATATTAATGCCAGAATGTTTTGTTGCTGCTGTTGCTGTTGTTGTTATAATAACAGCAACAACAATAATGCCAGAATGTTTTGTTGTTATTGTTGTTATAATGACAACAACAACAATAATAATGCCAGAATGTTTTGTTGTTGTTGCTGTTGTTATAATAATAATGATGTTCCTCAAGTTCTTCTCAGATAACTCCATCCAAAAGAAAGGCTTTGTTATAATAACAACAACAATGCCAGAATGTTTTGTTGTTGTTATTGTTGTTATAATAACAACAATAATAATGCCAGAATGTTTTGTTGTTGTTGTTATAATAATAATAATGATGTTCCTCAAGTTCTTCTCAGATAACTCCGTCCAAAAGAAAGGCTTTGTTATAATAACAACAACAATGCCAGAATGTGTTGTTGTTGTTGTTGTTATAATGACAACAATAATAATAATGCCAGAATGTTTTGTTGTTGTTGTTATAATAATAATAATGATGTTCCTCAAGTTCTTCTCAGATAACTCCGTCCAAAAGAAAGGCTTTGTTATAATAACAACAACAATAATAATGCCAGAATATTTTGCTGTTGATGTTGTTATACTAACAACAACAATAATAATGGCAGAATGTGTTGTTGCTGTTGTTGTTGTTGTTGTTATAATAATAATGATGTTCCTCAAGTTCTTCTCAGATAACTCCGTCCAAAAGAAAGGCTTTGAGGCAACCTATATGATGATGACAGAATGTTTTGTTGTTGTAGTTTGTTTATTATTATTATTATTATTATTATTATTATTATTATTATATAGAACGGTAGATAGAGCGGTATATAAATACATTTTTATTATTTTATTATTATATTATTATTTTAACATTATTATTAGAACAACAACAACAACAAAACATTCTAGCATTATTATTATTATTATTATTATTATTATTATTATTATTATTATTATTATGGTGTTGCTGCTGCTGTTGTTGTTATGAAACTAAACAACAAATCATGGCCCAACTCCACCCTAATCCTGATTTACTGGTAGATATAAACTGTGATAAGCAGGCAGCATCTGAAGCTGGAATGGGACAATGGAAATGCACAGAGAATAATAATAATAATAATAATAATAATAATAATAATAACTATTTATATTCTATCTGTCCTGAATTGCCCTTCAAAAACAGCCTTTAGACAATATTGAAAGTAAAAGAAAAATGCTTTACTTCAGCAAACACAAAGGATAAGCAAATGCAATTGAAAAGTGCAAAAGAAAGCAAGGAAGTCTTAATCCAGACACAAATTCAAGTCTCTTACAAGGTCCAAAAAAGGGAAATGCGAAAGACTGCTCCAACTTCCGTACAGTGGCCCTTATTTCTCATGCCAGTAAGGTAATGCTCAAGATCCTGCAAGGAAGACTCCAGCAATACATGGAGCGAGAGTTGCCAGATGTTCAAGCTGGGTTTAGAAAAGGCAGAGGAACGAGAGACCAGATTGCCAATATCCGCTGGATAATGGAGAAAGGCAGGGAGTTTCAGAAAAACATCTACTTCTGCTTCATTGACTGTTCTGGAGCCTTTGACTGTGTGGATCGTAATGAATTGTGGCAAGTTCTTAGTGGGATGGGCATCCCAAGCCACCTTGTCTCTCTCCTGAGGAATCTGTACAAGGACCAAGTAGCAACGGTGGGAGCTGGCCACGGAACAGCAGACTGGTTCAGGATTGGGAAGGGCGTGCGGCGGGGCTGCATCCTCTCACCCAACCTTTTTAGCTTGTATGCAGAACACATCATGCGATGTGCGGGGCTGGATGAA